GACTGCAAGACCTGGGGGTGGGAACATGGTACACCAGGGGCTGCAGACTGAGTGACCTGGGGTGGGAACATGGTACAGGAACTACAGACTGAGTGATCTGGGGGGTGGGAACATGGTACAGGGACTACAGACTGAGTGATCTGGGGGGTGGGAACATGGTACACCAGGGGCTGCAGACTGAGTGACCTGGGGGTGGGAACATGGTTCACCAGGGGCTGCAGACTGAGTGACCTGAGGGTAGGAACATGGTACAGGGACTACAGACTGAGTGACCTGGGGTGGGAACAGGGTACACCAGGGGCTGAAGAATACGTGACCTAGGGGTGGGAACAGGGTGACACAAGGGGCTGCAGACTGAGTGACCTGGGGGTGGGAACAGGGTTACACCAGGGGCTGCAGACTGCATGACCTGGGGGTGGGAACAGGGTTACACCAGGGGCTGCAGACTGCAAGACCTGGGGGTGGGAACAGGGTACACCAGCGGCTGAAGACTGCAAGACCTGGGGGTGGGAACAGGGTACACCAGGGGCCTCAGACTGAGTGACCTGAGGGTGGGAACAGGGTTACACCAGGGGCTGCAGACTTCATGACCAAGGGGTGGGAACAGGGTTACACCAGGGGCCCCAGACTGAGTGACCTGAGGGTGGGAACAGGGTTACACCAGGGGCTGCAGACTTCATGACCTAGGGGTGGGAACAGGGTTACACCAGGGGCTGCAGACTTCATGACCTAGGGGTGGGAACAGGGTTACACCAGGGGCTGCAGACTGAGTGTCCTGGGGCTGGGAACAGGGTTACACCGGGGGCTGAAGACTACGTGACCTGGGGGTGGGAACAGGGTTACACCAGGGGCTGCAGACTGAGTGACCTGGGGTGGGAACAGGGTTACACCAGCGGCTGAAGACTACGTGACCTGGGGGTGGGAACAGGGTTACACCGGGGGCTGAAGACTACGTGACCTGGGGGTGGGAACAGGGTTACACCAGCGGCTGCAGACTACGTGACCTGGGGGTGGGAACAGGGTCACACCAGCGGCTGCAGACTACGTGACCTGGGGCTGGGAACAGGGTTACACCAGCGGCTGAAGACTACGTGACCTGGGGGTGGGAACAGGGTTACATCAGGGGCTGAAGACTACGTGACCTGGGGGTGGGAACAGGGTCACACCAGGGGCTGAAGACTACGTGACCCTGGAGTGGGAACAGGGTTACACCAGGGGCTGCAGACTGAGTGACCTGGGGGTGGGAACAGGGTTACACCAGGGGCCCCAGATTGAGTGACCTGGGGGTGGGAACAGGTTACACCAGTGGCTGAAGACTACGTGACCTGGGGGTGGGAAAAGGGTGACACAAGGGGCTGCAGACTGAGTGACCTGGGGGTGGGAACAGGGTTACACCAGGGGCTGAAGACTACGTGACCTGGGGCTGGGAACAGGGTTACACCAGGGGCTGAAGACTACGTGACCTGGGGCTGGGAACAGGGTTACACCAGCGGCTGAAGACTACGTGACCTGGGGGTGGGAACAGGGTTACACCGGGGGCTGAAGACTACGTGACCTTGGGGTGGGAACAGGGTTACACCAGCGGCTGAAGACTACGTGACCTGGGAGTGGGAACAGGGTTACACCAGGGGCCCCAGACTGAGTGACCTGGGGGTGGGAACGGTTACACCAGGGGCCCCAGACTGAGTGACCTGGGAGTGGGAACAGGGCTACACCAGGGGCTGCAGACTGCGTGACCTGGGGGTGGGAACAGGGTTACACCAGGGGCTGAAGACTGCGTGACCTGGGGGTGGGAACAGGCTCAGATGGGGAAGGGTGTGTAAGGTGCCCCATCAGTAGTATTTCAAACTGGCAATTGTTGTAATACTTATCAAATGTTTTTGTCTATAACCTGCCAGATTAATGTACGCACAACACTGTTACCTCAAAAAGTACTCATCAATCAAATAATTTCTGAATTATCAAAATGTCTCAAGTTGAAATATAACACAAATACAAAAGTCCACTCCTACCGTGGGAGGAGAGCTGCTAGGGTCGTGTGGGGTCACTTTGGCCAGGGCAGGGTCAGAGGTCAGCACATCACAAGTGGCCAGAGCCCTACATGAGGACTTAATCATAAACAATATATCATCTGTAGGGAAGTAGGGGTATTAGTTGATGCTATCTTCCCATAAATCACAGATAACTGTCACACCAATATGGAGGTGTATAATCACACATATGTTTTGATGCAGTTAGTTTCCCCCTTCTGTGATCTCTCATTGAGAGATGGAGATTTATAACACAGATAGCACTTGTGTTTTCTGTCAATTCTCCTTGTCCATTGCCATTAGCTGACCTACCACAGACGTCATTTAAAAACATCTCAGAGACCTAACTCAAAGATGTTTCTCTTCAGAACATGTGGACAATTTTCCCAGACTTCACAACAGAATTATTCCCACATATACCATTCCTGCCATATGTTTGTAATCTTGGGACTTTTTTAAATGGTTGGAAACATTTTTTTATGAAAAAACAACCACAATAATAGTTGAAATCTCCTTCTTCTAAACCTTGATAGAAGGTTTATTTTTGCTCCCCTTGTGTGCATGTTGGGGCTATGTCGGCAGACTGTGGTGTTAAAAGTTGACAATTTTTTCAAAATTCACATTACTTGTGTTTGGTCCAATCCTTGCCCTTGCAACACTGTGTCGCCAGATGTTTACTTCTGTAGTGTGTGTTTACTGTATGTAGTGTCACTCCCGCCCAGCACTCCGCTGAGGCACTCCTTCAACCACTGTCTACTGCAGCAGGTGCCCATGGAAAACCAGCTCCATACCAAACAAACTCAACCTAGAGACCTATCCCCAAATTCCTCTTTTTTGTATGTTACCTCATTTTTGCAATTTTAATATGTTGAACTAGAGCAGATTTGAAATAAGCCACTTACTAGCCTATCCAATCATTTAGGGACAAAATGTGTTTTAATCATTCCACATTCCCTGTTTCTAGCTCAGTATCCCTTCCTATTCCTTACTGAACAGCCATACACAATGCAACTGGAATCAACAAGTGCACATGACATTGATAGGTTCGGGTAGAGGCGATGACATGGCTATGTAACCAGTTACATTCTTGCCAATCCAGTGATTGTGGTCACAGATTCTCCAAGACAGCCCAAGCATGCTTGATCAGTCAGCTGGCTGTGTCCTGGTGGGGAGTGCACTAGGTGCCCCAGCAGTCAGCTGGCTGTGTCCTGGTGGGGAGCGTGCTAGGTGTCCCAGCAGTCAGCTGGCTGTGTCCTGGTGGGGAGTGTGCTAGGTGCCCCAGCAGTCAGCTGGCTGTGTCCTGGTGGGGAGTGTGCTAGGTGCCCCAGCAGTCAGCTGGCTGTGTCCTGGTGGGGAGTGTGCTAGGTGCCCCAACAGACAGCTGGCTGTGTCCTGGTGGGGAGTGTGCTAGGTGCTCCAGCAGTCAGCTGGCTGTGTCCTGTGGGGAGTGTGCTAGGTGTCCCAGCAGTCAGCTGGCTGTGTCCTGGTGGGGAGTGCACTAGTTGCCCCAGCAGACAGCTGGCTGTGTCCTGGTGGGGAGTGCACTAGGTGCCCCAGCAGTCAGCTGGCTGTGTCCTGGTGGGGAGCGTGCTAGGTGTCCCAGCAGTCAGCTGGCTGTGTCCTGGTGGGGAGTGTGCTAGGTGCCCCAGCAGTCAGCTGGCTGTGTCCTGGTGGGGAGTGTGCTAGGTGCCCCAGCAGTCAGCTGGCTGTGTCCTGGTGGGGAGTGTGCTAGGTGCCCCAACAGACAGCTGGCTGTGTCCTGGTGGGGAGTGTGCTAGGTGCTCCAGCAGTCAGCTGGCTGTGTCCTGTGGGGAGTGTGCTAGGTGCCCGAGCAGTCAGCTGGCTGTGTCCTGGTGGGGAGTGTGCTAGGTGCCCCAGCAGTCAGCTGGCTGTGTCCTGGTGGGGAGTGTGCTAGGTGCCCCAGCAGTCAGCTGGCTGTGTCCTGGTGGGGAGTGTGCTAGGTGCTCCAGCAGTCAGCTGGCTGTGTCCTGTGGGGAGTGTGCTAGGTGTCCCAGCAGTCAGCTGGCTGTGTCCTGGTGGGGAGTGCACTAGGTGCCCCAGCAGACAGCTGGCTGTGTCCTGGTGGGGAGTGCACTAGGTGCCCCAGCAGTCAGCTGGCTGTGTCCTGGTGGGGAGCGTGCTAGGTGTCCCAGCAGTCAGCTGGCTGTGTCCTGGTGGGGAGTGTGCTAGGTGCCCCAGCAGTCAGCTGGCTGTGTCCTGGTGGGGAGTGTGCTAGGTGCCCCAGCAGTCAGCTGGCTGTGTCCTGGTGGGGAGTGTGCTAGGTGCCCCAACAGACAGCTGGCTGTGTCCTGGTGGGGAGTGTGCTAGGTGCTCCAGCAGTCAGCTGGCTGTGTCCTGTGGGGAGTGTGCTAGGTGCCCGAGCAGTCAGCTGGCTGTGTCCTGGTGGGGAGTGTGCTAGGTGCCCCAGCAGTCAGCTGGCTGTGTCCTGGTGGGGAGTGTGCTAGGTGCCCCAGCAGTCAGCTGGCTGTGTCCTGGTGGGGAGTGTGCTAGGTGCCCCAGCAGTCAGCTGGCTGTGTCCTGGTGGGGAGTGTGCTAGGTGCCCCAGCAGTCAGCTGGCTGTGTCCTGGTGGGGAGTGTGCTAGGTGCCCCAACAGACAGCTGGCTGTGTCCTGGTGGGGAGTGTGCTAGGTGCTCCAGCAGTCAGCTGGCTGTGTCCTGTGGGGAGTGTGCTAGGTGCCCGAGCAGTCAGCTGGCTGTGTCCTGGTGGGGAGTGTGCTAGGTGCCCCAGCAGTCAGCTGGCTGTGTCCTGGTGGGGAGTGTGCTAGGTGCCCCAGCAGTCAGCTGGCTGTGTCCTGGTGGGGAGTGTGCTAGGTGCTCCAGCAGTCAGCTGGCTGTGTCCTGGTGGGGAGTGCGCCAGGTTAGGTAAACATACCAAAGTGATGAAAACAATATGATATCCTGATACTACAGTCCATGATATTTGTACCAAAAACAAGAGTGACAACTTACCAAGCAGGTTTGAAGTCAAAGTCATCAGATGCCAGTTGCCACGGACGACAGCCGCCGCCCCAGCTGCTGATGTTGAGGATGACAATGCCTTCAATGTCAGGTAGTTCAAGGACGCGGTCATCCAACTCAACCTGAAAACACAACAAATATCTCACAGCATGGACAAGTATGACAGGAAAATAAGGAGTCTTAGACAACATGGGCAGAAAATGGACAGGATTGTTGACCAAAAATAAGGCAAATATTCCACATGATGATTTGTTTGTACACTGAGGACAGAAGTGTGGGTGAATATCTCGTGCAAATCATCGACAGCAACATTACAGTTACATGACAATGGTCTGTGCACAACCAGGTGGCCTAACTCGACGGCACAGGTACTACAGATATGTACCCCAGGTATGTTTCTGCATATAGAAATGTACCCTAGCCAAAATCAGAATACAGAAAGGTACCCTAGGATGAGTTCATTCCGCCACAGCCCGTAATGCATAGTGCACTTAACTGGTTCCTTGAACGCTTACGTATGGATGCCAAACCGCTGTAAAAATTCAACATCGCACTGCACGTTGTATATTTTTTTGGAAAGGTATTTCCTTTCCATAAACGGATCTGAACTGCCATATTGTTATATGAGATGATTTCCAGTGTGTCATAAGAAACAAGCATACACAGTGACGTACGTATATTCCACTATGCACAGTATTATCAAGCATGCACTCGTCATCAGGTGAACCATATCTACAGCAGGAACCGGCTTTAGTTTCAGGTTTAGGAATATGGACTCATGCCCCGCTTAGGATACTGGGTACCTTTCTGTATTCTGATTTTGACAAGGCTACATTCCTGTATCCAGACACATACCTGGACTCGTGCCTCGCTTAGGATACTGGGTACCTTTCTGTATTCTGATTTTGACAAGGCTACATTCCTGTATCCAGACACATACCTGGGGTACATATCTGTAGTACCTGTGCTGACAACAAACCCTTCAGTCTTAGTTGGCACTTACAAGAACAATATACAAGTAAGAATGTTTTTGTTTCTGGAATCCCCTGGGTGATAGCCTGGTTGACCATTCTAGTTGAACAGGCCTACATTGAGAGGATTGATAAGCATAGTAACCACTTGGCAAGTGGACATTCAATATATGCATGATTCTGACCAAAGGCTTTAGGTATTGTATATGTTGTGTCACACATGTTGAGGGAACTATCCATTCCATTGGTGATTTAAAGGATGCAATGCGAGATGCAGTATGCCTGATGCAAGATAGAAGACATGCAGAGACAAGAGAGGGACATCTTGAGCTCAGTGAGCTGGAGGCACATTTCAAGATGGACCCACCAAGTGAACCTTCTATAAAGGAGACATTCTGACGTCAAGGAGATGAGTGAGAGGCTGAACAGACCATTCATTCTTGTAGACAGTTATTTTTTATTTCACAGCGTTTATCTGGAAATGTAATTAGACTACATGTGATAGCTCTGTGAGCCCACAAACGCTGCTCCATGGCCATGTCATCTAGGTTCACTTCAACAGAAAGCCTCTCTCATCATACCCAAATCAAACAATACAGAGGACTAGGATCTTATCTCAAAGCAGAATGGTAAGTTCATAGTGGCTGTAGTGCTTCAGTTATTACTTGACTATGTTTTTGTTTCATAATGAACAAATTCCAGACAGTGGCTTGAAGTATGGTCGCCTGATTGAAACAGAGACCCAGATGTTGGTGCAAGTAAACAGTTTCAAGAATTGACATATCCCATCTCTTAAACAGGTTCAGTTCTCATAAGATCTGCTGTTACATCTATCACGAAGGCTGTATGAAGGCTTCTACCATATTCACACAAATAAGTGACAGGGCAAAGGGGAGGTGCATGAGGAGACTGGAAGTTCAATAATTGTAGCATTTGTCTTGAGGTACCTTATAGTGACTACACAAATGGTTTTTCATTACACAGCAATCAGCAACATATCAGCTGTAGTTTGGGTTTGCAATGATAGAATGTGGGCAACGCAAACCATGAGTGAATAAGATCCACACTGTTTGTCAGTGATCTACAGTCGAGGTGTTATACAGAATGGTTTTCATGGACCTTCCAAGTACTAGCCACTTCATGGACCTTCCAAGTACTAGTCACTTCATGGACCTTCCAAGTACTAGCCACTTCATGGACCTTCCAAGTACTAGTCACTTCATGGACCTTCCAAGTACTAGTCACTTCATGGACCTTCCAAGTACTAGTCACTTCATGGACCTTCCAAGTACTAGTCACTTCATGGACCTTCCAAGTACTAGTCACTTCATGGACCTTCCAAGTACTAGCCACTTCATGGACCTTCCAAGTACTAGCCACTTCATGGACCTTCCAAGTACTAGTCACTTCATGGACCTTCCAAGTACTAGTCACTTTATGGACCTTCCAAGTACTAGACCCTTCATGGACCTTCCAAGTACTAGTCACTTCATGGACCTTCCAAGTACTAGTCACTTCATGGACCTTCCAAGTACAAGTCAAACTCAGCAGCCATTGTGACCAGTGAATACCCGTTACAGAAGGCAATTATGATGTGCTCATTCCATCATGTAAATCCAGTAAAGTAACAGTGCAGGACACTTAAGATGTGTACAATACGGTACAGGTTTATCTCATGGGTCACCTCGTTTAATTAAAAGTCTAAAGTCAAGTGATGAGATGCCCACTACAGATGAGAGACTTGGTGCCGATGGACATCAGACCTTGAGAGGAACACACCACTGCCTATACTATACATGTCTTATCTTGTTACCATCACACATTGAAATCTCTTTAGGAAGAATATTTACAAACAGCTTGAAAACATATTCCCAATTTGTGAGATGTCAAGAGAGGAGCTATCAGCTTTCACTGAAAGTCAACTGGGTCAACATAATGGTATTAAACAGACAAGTGTGAAGCACACAGGGACACAGTTGTGAAGGGATAATGATGTTACATGCCTAATCTACTACATAGACACAGCTCATCACATGCAAGAACAATGCATTATTTTTATTATAGAAACGATTCCTCCAATTGGAAAAGAATCCAAGAAGTAGTTTTCAAGTTATAGATCGTGCAAATGTTGAAGAAGAAATATTTCTAAGTTCAAAACATGAAATGAAATCATACTTATTCAGAAATTTCACATATCAAAATCAAACTTTGCAGTGCACCTCTCCTAATAGTATAGAAAGTGTTCCTTAAATTTGAAAAGAATCCATGAAGTAGTTCTCAGTAACAGGTCGCACAAATGTTGAAGTAAAAAATAACAATCTAAATTCAAAACACGGAAAAATTCATATTTTCTCAGAAAATCAACATGTCAAAATCAAACTTTGCACTGCACCCCTCCTATTCATATAGAAAGTGTTCGGCAAGTTTGAAAAGAATCTATGACGCAGTTTTCAAGTGAAAGGTTGCACGCAAAAATGTCCTTGGAAGGACTTAGGGAAGGACAGATGGAATGCCTTGGCAGAGATATATACCTGGACCTTTCATGACGGTGGTGTAATAAATGGGCTAATGCTGTTTTGTCATGTTTGATCTGAAAGGCTGAAAACGTTCATCACCAGTTGAGATTCCTGTTTAGAATTAAACATGCATTTATATCTCCTATTGACCTTCAGTGTCATTGGCTCATAGTGCATACTACACTGTTTCAAAACACATTTAGCTTTCATAGTATTATCAAGTCTAGAATTGAAGTAATGTCGAGATGCTGAAATCTCTGAAACTTCAATAAGTGAACTGGCTGATTCAAAATTAAAAAATATCTGACCTCATTTCAGACTGTTTTAAATCATTTGTGATAAATGGAATTTATAAACCCTGTTCTTGGTTATAAACGGACATGGAGAATAAATCCAGTTACATCATTCTTTAATCCTTGGTACAATTTGTCATATTTGATTTCCTATTTACCATAAATTCATCATACTATGTGCAGCAAGAATGTCAAGACGGATCAATCACTGGTTTACTGTTAATGAAGACAGGTTCACACGGTGCAGTGGTTGTCCTGATAAATGTTATTAGGCCCAAATGTGTTATTAATGCTAAAGCAACCCCACTATGGGTTCCCCCTCTTCCATGTAAACACAGCGACAGCCTTGCCTGAGTCTGGGAACTCCCTGGCCCCACACTCTCATACATGCAGTTGTCATAAACGCAGCCTTTCTCACACTCACTGCCTGTGATGGAAACTGCAAAAATGAAAAATCAGAAATATAAAAACCTGGAATTTTCTGCCTGTTTGTTTTCTTGCTGGCTAATGGAGGGAGAGATTTACGAGCAACCTGATCGGGGCAGGGGGAGATGAAACAGCCCGCTCGCTCAACACCACCCAATGTCCTCCAGATGATACATGCAGGGAGTCCATGCCAGGAAGGTACAAAATGGTAAAGGAGTGGTACAAGTGTGATACAAAAGACTACAGCTTTGGTACAGCCTTGATAAAGCCATGGTGCAGCTGAGAGAACAGCTGTGTTACAGCAATAATACAACCATCACACAGCCATGGTACAACCATCACACAACCATCACACAGCCTTGGTACAACCATCACAAAGCCTTGGTACAACCATCACAAAGCCATGGTACAGCCTTGGTACAACCATCACAAAGCCATGGTACAACCATCACACAACCATCACACAGCCTTGGTACAACCATCACACAGCCTTGGTACAACCATTACAAAGCCTTGGTACAACCATCACACAGCCATGGTACAGCCATCACACAGCAATCACACATCCATGGTACAGGCATGGTACAACCATCACATAGCCATGGTACAACCATCACACAACCATGGTACAACCATCACAAAGCCTTGGTACAACCATCACACAGCCATGGTACAACCATGGTACAGCCATGGTACAACCATCACATAGCCATGGTACAGCCATCACACAGCAATCACACAGCCATGGTACAGGCATGGTACAGCCATCACACAGCCATGGTACAACCATGGTACAACCATCACACAGCCTTGGTACAACCATCAAACAGCCATGGTACAACCATGGTACAACCATCACACAGCCATGGTATAGCCATGGTATAGCCATGGTACAACCATCCCACAGCCATGGTATAGCCATGGTACAACCATCACACAGCCATGGTACAGCCATGGTACAACCATGGTACAGCCATCACACAGCCTTGGTACAGCCATCACACAGTTTTGGTACAGCCATGGTACAACCATCACACAGCCATGGTACAACCATCACACAACCATGGTACAACTATTACACAGCCATGGTACAACCATCACACAGCCATGGTAAACCCATGGTACAAACTCACACAGCCATGGGACAACCATCACACAGCCATGGTACAACCATCACAAAACCATGGTACAACAATCACACAACCATCACACAGCCATGGTACAACCATCACACAGCCATGGTACACCCATGGTACAAACTCACACAGCCATGGTACAACCATCACACGGCCATGGTACAACCATCACACAGCCATGGTACAACTATCACACAGCCATGGTACAACCATCACACAGCCATGGTACAACAATCACACAACCATCACACAGCCATGGTACAACCATCACACAGCCATGGTACAACCATCAAACAGCCATGGTACACCCATGGTACAAACTCACACAGCCATGGTACAACCATCACACAGCCATGGTACACCCATGGTACACCCATGGTACAACCATCACACAGCCATGGTACACCCATGGTACAAACTCACACAGCCATGGTACAACCATCACACAGCCATGGTACAACCATCACACAGCCATGGTACAGCCATGGTACAACCATCACACAGCCATGGTACAACCATCAGACAGCCATGGTACAACCATCACACAACCATGGTACAACAATCACACAGCCATGGTACAGCCATCACACAGCCATGGTACAACCATCACATAGCCATGGTACAACCTTCACACAGCCATGGTACACCCATGGTACAAACTCACACAGCCATGGTACAACCATCACACAGCCATGGTACAACCATCAAACAGCCATGGTACAACCATGGTACAACCATCACACAGCCATGGTATAGCCATGGTACAACCATCCCACAGCCATGGTACAGCCATGGTACAACCATCACACAGCCATGGTACAGCCATGGTACAGCCATCACACAGCCTTGGTACAGCCATCACACAGTTTTGGTACAGCCATGGTACAACCATCACACAGCCATGGTACAACCATCACACAACCATGGTACAACTATCACACAGCCATGGTACAACCATCACACAGCCATGGTAAACCCATGGTACAAACTCACACAGCCATGGTACAACCATCACACAGCCATGGTACAACCATCACACAACCATGGTACAACAATCACACAACCATCACACAGCAATGGTACAACCATCACACAACCATGGTACAACCATCACACAGCCATGGTACAACCATGGTACAAACTCACACAGCCATGGTACAACCATCACACAGCAATGGTACAACCATCACACAGCCATGGTACACCCATGGTACAAACTCACACAGCCATGGTACAACCATCACACAACCATGGTACAACCATCACACAGCCATGGTACAACCATCACACAGCCATGGTACAGCCATGGTACAACCATCACACAGCCATGGTACAACCATCACACAGCCATGGTACAACCATCACACAACCATGGTACAACAATCACACAGCCATGGTACAGCCATCACACAGCCATGGTACAACCATCACATAACCATGGTACAACAATCACACAGCCATGGTACAACCATCACACAGCCATGGTACAACCATCACACAGCCATGGTACACCCATGGTACAAACTCACACAGCCATGGTACAACCATCACACAGCCATTACACAGTCATGGTACAGCCATCACACAGCCATTGTACAGCAGTGACACTGACAAGGGGATGATGGTGGTTGCACCTGTGGATGTGGTCACACCAGCGCAATGTGTTGCAGTGTTTGCACCTGGTTAAAAATGATTGTGGATAGTGTGTGATACCAATTAACAGATAGTATTGGGCATAAACTGAGAAAATGCTTTGTTCCACTGAATAAGGTTGATAGAGGTGTAGTATTCTGGACAGCATGGAAAGGGGTAGGTGTGACAGCATAGGATAGTGTTACATAGTATGAGGCAGTGGGGGATTGTTAGAGATAGAATTGGATAGTATGGGATAGTAAGGAATTGTGTTGGAAAGTGTGAACCGGGGTGGGAGATACCTGGGAACAGTATGCGGTGGGGAATGGTACAGAGAAGACATAACCAACAACATCAGCAGCATGCCAAACACCAGTGTCTACACATGAGTAGGAACAGGCCATGCTTACTGCTTCAAAGAAAGGATGTTTATTCCTGACTCCCATGAGAGAGGCATTTTACAATAACGGGGAATGAGACAATAAATATAGGAAATGGGTTGTTCCTGTCATATGATGCCCAGCTTGAGGCTGGTTGATGTCCCCTGCACGACTTCCTTACCCCATGTGTTACATACACAACAGGTGATAGCCATACCACGTGACTAGTCACACCCTCCATGACAAGGATCAGCCTCAGTGTCCATCAATAACACATGTTTGTTTTGTTTGTTTTTTGTTGTTTAACGCCACACTCAGCACTATTACAGCTGTATGACGGCGGTCTCTAAATAATCAAATCTGGACCAGACAGCCCAGTGATTGACATCATGAGCATCGATCAACGCAATTGGGATACAATGACATGCGTCAACCAAGTCAGCGAGCCAGACCACCCAATCCTATTAGTTGCCTCTTACGACAAGCATAGTCGCCTTTTACGGCAAGCATGGGGTGCTGAAGACCTATTCTACCCCGGATCTTCACAGGTGAGTCACTGAGATCGTCCAACACCATGTAGTAAGGACATGTCTGCTGAGACATTCACAATGTTAGCAAAATTCACAAGAAATTATTTGGTCATAATTAGGGAAAAAGTGTCTGGGTTTAAACCCATGACCACAGAAACCTAGCATCTGAGGGACACAACTATGCATAGAATGATATAGCATTAAAACCCTCACTCCAATCCACACACACTGATCAGTAACAAGGATACTTAATCCACCTCAATCACAAGAGGCAAACTCACTACCATCAATAAAAAGTGTGAACACCCTCAATAAAAGTTAATCAAAAGAAACACCTTTAACTCCCTCAATGAAGATCAAATGTTCATACATCCCACCAACCAAGGCTATATTTCAGTTATACAATAACCACTGGTTTAGTTCTCCAGTACGGCAGTGCCGTCTCTATGATACAGGGTATTTCTCTGTTTCAGGTACGGTCAGAACACAAGCAGGTGTTGCCCCAACTACTCCAAAGGTAAATTATCTGGATAGATAAAAGACGTCATTATTCTCCAATATATAAACTCACTCTCCTCACCTGGCCTGCACATGTACAATGTGAATGGCCCATTGTCCATTCTTATCAAGTTCCTCATTCACATACATACACAGGTGTGAACACTTCAAGCTACAGTGTGCCTGTGTCACAAATGATGTACTATAGAGAGTATGTGAGCTGAACACCGGACATCCTCAACAACAACGTCCACTTCACTCCATCAATGTGGCAATGTGCCCACATTTTAACTTAACATAGTCTGTGACTCTGTGCACTGTTAATTGGTAATGACATTTTCAGCATGCATCAGCACCAAAACACCTGAGTTAAGATGGTTTACTGAAATATATTAATTCTGCTTCATGTGGACCTTCAAATACATACCTTGTGTTCAAAAATTATATGGAAACAAATTGATTAACACATCCTTATAGAGCTTTCACAGACTCAGTAATTCTACGAGAGAGAGGCCATTAACACTGCTTTGATTTCAGTTAGGTCACAGCATGTCAGCTTAATGTTTGAGAAAAGCCCCAAATGAGACAGGTCTAAGACGTCTGTCTACCACTTGCGTGAAATCCAAAAGCAGTGGTACAGTGCTGATAAACCAAGAATGATGCTTATTCAGGATTCAAACCTGCATCAGGGATGCAACCCTCCATTGTGCTGCCTTACAGGGCCACTGTGTCCCAGATTTGTCCAAACTATTATCCTCACCCTCATCTTCTTGTTGAGCTGCTTGCACTCCCTCTCCAGGACGTCCTTGGTGCCGTATGTGAAGTACGCAAACTGAAACACAGCAACTGCACATTAGCATCACAGAATACTCTTAGTCAATATTGAACGTCACAACTCTCACTGCATAAACACCTGTCAAAGTTTACACACGATACAAGCTGACATATATTACGAATTCTGATGACAATGTTATCAAAGTCATGTCTATGATCGACACTGATAGATTGGGATTTATAACCTGGAACAAAATCTTGTCTCTGGGAACACCACAGGGAAACAATAGCTGTGATTAAATTTGTAGAATCGGGGCCATAATTTGTTTACAAAGTAATGTCAGTGAAGACAATCGAAAACATGACCTCATCCCTTTCAAGGAGGAGGACACTGTTGCAAACTCATCCATGAGGAGAAATATATGTTCTAAAATTTATATAAACCTTTTTGAAAACAACCAGAAGGTGTATCTGGTTCATAACTTAAGATACTTTCTGACAAATCAACTTGTGGTAACTTCTTGCATTCTTCCTGCTTCACCAGACTGAAACCAGATGACGTTTCATCTAAACAAACAACATGGTTGCCATGGCATATGTCCCATGTAACATGGGTGACAGGGTGGAGCTCTGCAGATTACATCAGTGATAACAGTCAGCCACATCCAGGAGAAGTTGCTGCAACACATCTCCTCACAGACACACAGACAGACAGCTTCACCTCTGCCAGCCACAGACACACAGACAGACAGCTTCACCTCTGCCAGCCACAGACACACAGACAGACAGCTTCACCTCTGCCAGCCACAGACACACAGACAGACAGCTTCACCTCTGCCAGCCACAGACACACGGATAGACAGGTTCACCTCTGCCAGCCAAAGACACACAGACAGACAGCTTCACCTCTGCCAGCCACAGACACACAGACAGACAGCTTAACCTCTGCCAGCCACAGACACACAGACAGACAGCTTCACCTCTGCCAGCCACAGACACACAGACAGACATCTTCACCTCTGCCAGCCACAGACACACTGCAACATGCCTGACTCCTTGGCTCTGCAGCCCTTCCACAAACATTACAAAGTTACATCAGTTTTTCTCTCATGAGAAAATTTCAGCTTCTCTCTTTTTCAGCCATTGATGAAAAAAGGTCTTGGGAATCAGAAAGCTGTCTGGTTCCTACTCGGCTGGGCGGCGTTTTATTGCCTTGTTATGTGCCCCAAACTATAGCAAAGTTCCCCATCCTCCTTTATACTAGGCAATGAATGCTACACTACAGGCCACCATGACATGTCATTCAACTGGTACAGAGTAGAGTAGGTGAATGACATGTCATCCTGGCTGGCACAGAGTAGGTGAATGACATGTCATCCTGGCTGGTACAGAGTAGGTGAATGACATGTCATCCTGGCTGGTACAGAGTAGGTGAATGACATGTCATCCTGGCTGGTACAGAGTAGAGTAGGTGAATGACTTTTTATCCTGGCTGGTACAGAGTAGAGTAGGTGAATGACATGTCATCCTGGCTGGTACAGAGTAGGTGAATGACATGTCATCCTGGCTGGTACAGAGTAGGTGAATGACATGTCATCCTGGCTGGTACAGAGTAGAGTAGGTGAATGACATGTCATCCTGGTTGGTACAGAGTAGGTGAATGACATGTCATCCTGGCTGGTACAGAGTAGAGTAGGTGAATGACATGTCATCCTGGCTGGTACAGAGTAGAGTAGGTGAATGACATGTCATCCTGGCTGGTACAGAGTAGGTGAATGACATGTCATCCTGGCTGGTACAGAGTAGGTGAATGACATGTCATCCTGGCTGGTACAGAGTAGAGTAGGTGAATGACATGTCATCCTGGCTGGTACAGAGTTGGTGAATGACATGTCAACAGATTTTAGTTTTAACATAAACATGTTCTGTTGCATCCCATTGGTTACCCGATGTACATGAGGTAGACTACTATGACATACCATCAACTAAGATAGTCAGAGAATATCTAACATTCCATTGGCACATTTTCAGGAATTCTTAGAATGGCAAGGACACAAATAAGTGCAGAATGTGTGCTAAGTGTCTGACAGCATGTGTCGAGGTCACTCAGTACAGTGGTTGCATGCAGCAATGTACAGTGGAACCTGCCATCAGCCATTACACCATCTTCCACCAGGGACGCCACTAAAAAAGTCTCTCATCACTGGCATATATTGGAAAGCAACAGGTCATGTGAACAGTTGTCTCCCTTGCCTAGCAGCTGGTTTAGAAATAGGTGTTTTTGTTCTCATAGCAATATTAAACAGCTCTCGCACAGCGTTCACTCCTAGTTCGGGTTTGGCCAACTTGTTGTTTTCGGTCATGGTCCACTGGGGAGACCACTGTCATCTTCTTCTTCATAACACTACCACTCTACATGGGGAATTCTCACACTTGATGTGCAGATCTGTCAGTCTGCTGCTTGTAATCAATGAAAGTACCCTCACACCAGTATTACATCTGGGTCATGTGTCATGTACAGTAGGCTCATTAGAGGGAGTTATTGAGTTGGGTTTAAAGTCATTTGAACAGTATTCAACCTGCTGGAAGGCAGGAGTAAGGAGCCATCTCATACTGAGGAGGCATTCAACCTGCTGGAAGGCAGGAGTAAGGAGCCATCTCATACTGAGGAGGCCTTCAACCTGCTGGAAGGCAGGAGTAAGGAGCCATCTCATACTGAGGAGGCATTCAACTTGCTGCAAGGCAGGAGTAAGGAGCCATCTCATACTGAGGAGGCATTCAACCTGCTGGAAGGAAGGAGTAAGGAGCCATCTCATACTGAGGAGGCATTCAACTTGCTGGAAGGCAGGAGTAAGGAGTCATCTCATACTGAGGAGGCATTCAACCTGCTGGAAGGCAGGAGTAAGGAGCCATCTCATACTGAGGAGGCATTCAACCTGCTGGAAGGCAGGAGTAAGGAGCCATCTCATACTGAGGAGGCCTTCAACCTGCTGAAAGGCAGGAGTAAGGAGCCATCTCATACTGAGGAGGCATTCAACTTGCTGGAAGGCAGGAGTAAGGAGTCATCTCATACTGAGGAGGCATTCAACCTGCTGGAAGGCAGGAGTAAGGAGCCATCTCATACTGAGGAGGCATTCAACCTGCTGGAAGGCAGGAGCAAGGAGCCATCTCATACTGAGGACGCCTTCAACCTGCTGGAAGGCAGGAGTAAGGAGCCATCTCATACTGAGGAGGCATTCAACCTGCTGGAAGGCAGGAGTAAGGAGCCATTTCATACGGAGGAGGCATTCAACCTGCTGGAAGGCAGGAGTAAGGAGCCATCTCATACTGAGGAGGCCTTCAACCTGCTGGAAGGCAGGCAGTAAGGAGCCATCTCATACTGAGGAGGCATTCAACCTGCTGGAAGGCAGGAGTAAGGAGCCATCTCATACTGAGGAGGCATTCAACCTGCTGGAAGGCAGGAGTAAGGAGCCATCTCATACTGAGGAGGCATTCAACCTGCTAGAAAGGCAGGAGTAAGGAGTCATCTCATACATAGAAGGCATTCAACCTGCTGGAAGGCAGGAGTAAGGAGCCATCTCATACTGAGGAGGCATTCAACTTGCTGGAAGGCAGGAGTAAGGAGCCATCTCATACTGAGGAGGCATTCAACTTGCTGGAAGGCAGGAGTAAGGAGCCATCTCATACTGAGGAGGCATTCAACTTGCTGGAAGGCAGGAATAAGGAGCCATCTCATACTGAGGAGGCATTCAACTTGCTGGAAGGCAAGAGTAAGGAGTCATCTCATACTGAGGAGGCATTCAACTTGCTGGAAGGCAGGAGTAAGGAGTCATCTCATACTGAGGAGGCATTCAACTTGCTGGAAGGCAGGAGTAAGGAGCCATCTGATGCATCTCAACCTGCCGGAACCAACAATATAACACATTGGAACCAGTGTCAACAAGGTCTTCCAACACTATAACAAATAAGAATTAATGACACCAAGGGTACTGGAGATTCATTTTGTTCGAAATAAGTGGGGGCCTGATTTTCTTGAAGTTTGCATGTGCTGTAGTATTTGAATCTAGGGACTCCTGAAAATGTTAACTTTGAACATATGGTTATGACAAGGAACACTTGATGTTCATTTTCAATTTCAAACACTGCTTAGCCTGCCCGAAAACACTACCAAGACCAATGCACAGGAAGTGACAAGAATCCTGCCATACCTTTGCACCAGAGTTGTAACAATATAACTTGTTCTAAATATCTCAAGGACATTCATGACATTTGTGACAAAGTTGGTGATAAGTTAAAATAAACAAATATGTCTGGGAACCTAGCTCCTTGCTGTCACATTATCTCCATGTAAGAGGTTCCTCAGTACATCTTCTCAAACAGATCTGGCAGATAGCACTGCACCAGCAGACATGGTGCACCCTGCGACCAATGCACTATTGCATGTCCGCCAGACACTCACAGGGATTGAAGAATCAGCTGGGTCAATATATACTAAACAGTGGTCAGTCAACAGGCCCCTACCTTGTCAATATGTACTAAACATTGGTCAGTCGACAGGCCCCTTCTTTGTCAATATATACTAAACATTGGTCAGTCGACAGGCCCCTACCTTGTCAATATATACTAAACATTGGTCAGTCGACAGGCCCCTACCTTGTCAATATATACTAAACATTGGTCAGTCGACAGGCCCCTACATTGTCAATATATACTAAACATTGGTCAGTCGACAGGCCCCTACATTGTCAATATATACTAAACATTGGTCAGTCGACAGGCCCCTACATTGTCAATATATACTAAACATTGGTCAGTCGACAGGCCCCTACATTGTCAATATATACTAAACATTGGTCAGTCGACAGGCCCCTACATTGTCAATATAGAGAGAAAACTTTGGTAAGGCAAAATATAGAGAACACTTTAGTCAGTCAATTTAGTGAGAACACTTTGGTCAGTCAATATAGAAAGAACACTTTGATCAGTCAATATAGAGAGAACAATTTGGTCAGTCAATATAGGGAGAACACTTGGGCCAGTCAATATAGAGAGAACACT